CACATTGCCCATACCCGGATGATACAAGATGTCGCAATCATAGTCTTTGAGAAGTTTTATCAACATTCTCTGATACATGTTAAGATTATTTTGAGTGAATATGTGTTTCAAACTCTTGTGATCAGTATAGATATGAAAGATCTCCCCATACAAATAATGGCGTCAAGTCTTCAAGGCATAGATAATTGCGACAAGCTCTAAGCCATGGGTGTAATAGTTTTTCTCATGACTCTTCAACTGTCTGGACCCATAGGCTATGACATTCACATGCTACATCAGAACACAACCCAAACCTAAGTAGGAGGCATCATTATAACTGTATATCCACCCGATCCACTCGGCAAGGCTAACACAAGTGCAGTAGTCAGCCACTTCTTTAGTTCTAAAAAACTTTTTTCACAGTTCTCGTCCAACACAAACATGACATTCTTCTTTGTAAGCCGAGTCAGATGAGCAGTTAGACAAGAAAACTTTTCCATAAACCTGCGATAATACCCTACCATCCCAGAAAGCTACGAATCTCCTTAACCGATGTCAAATTTCCTCATCCAGGCACTGCTTCAATTTTTTCAGAGTTCACTAATACTCCATCTTTTGATATGATGTATCTTAGGAAGGTAGTCTACTCAAGCCAGAACTCACACTTACTTAACTTTGGATACAGCTTTTTCTCCCTGAGAATCTGCAAAACCTGAGTTATATGGGGAACATGTTCCTCTCTGCTCTTTGAATAGACCAAGATATCATCAATGAACACAATGACAAACTGATCTAGAAATTGTCTGAAAACTCTATTCATCAAGTTCATAAAGATGGCTGGGGCGTTGGTTAGTCCAAATGGTATGATTAGGAACTCATAGTGCCCGTACCTAGCTAGAAATGATGTTTTGGGAATGTCTTCTGCCCTGATTTTTACATAATGGTAACCTGAATGCAGGTCTATCTTGGAGAAGACCCGAGCACCTGCAACTGATCAAAGAGGTCATCGATCATGCGGATGGGATACTTATTTTTTATCGTGATCCTGTTCAGACCTCTGTAATCAATACATAACTTCAACGTCCCATCTTCCTTTTTTGCAAATGTAACTCTGGCACTCCAAGAGAACACGCTATGTCGGATGAATCCATTGTCCTGCAATTCTGTGATCTGTTTCTTCAGTTCCTCTATCTCAACGCAGCTCACGCGGTAAGGAGTCGCCGAAATAGGCTGGGTGCTCGGCTGAAGGTCTATGGTGAATTCGACTTTTCTGTCCACTGGCAGTTCAGGTAATTCATCCATAAACACATTTGAAGTCTCGAACTATCGAAATCTCTTGAATACAAATTTCTTTCTTGGGTTTGCCTAGTTAGAGAAAATAGTTGGGTTAAAGTACTTGATAATAAGAAAATTTGTCATGAGGAAAACAAATGTTAAACGATTTTATTAATTTATAAATGACTCTTCATTAGGAGGGTTGAATACAACCTTCTTGCTAAAACAATCTACAGTGGCGTGATACGCCACTAGTTAGTTCATTTCTAAAATTACATTAAAGTTCTTCGTGTCAGTTTCTATTAGGTTTACGCTCAATTTTCTATCTGCGATATCTATGACACAAGCCCTGTATACAACCTCCCCCAGTAGTGTCCTACTCCCAAGAGTAGATATAAATAATACAAAATCAAGTTTTTCAGGTGATACATCTAATTTTGATGCAAAAATATATGAAACAAATGAATGTGATGTACCAGTATCAATCAAGACATGAACAAGATGGTTACATATAGTGTACATACCCTGTACCACGTCCAGGTTGGTTTCTACATCCTGCTGAGTGAGATTGTAAGCTATGCCCTTGATAGGAGGTCGAGTTTGGTTCTGGTTCCTCGAGCACTCCGTTGCATAATGTTGAGCACTACCATATATGTGGCAGGTGTTGTTGAGGCGATAGCAGGTTCAGTCCCCATGATCCTTGCCATAATACTGACAGATCTTGCCACATCCTGCTACTGGAACCTGAGGGGGAGCCTGAGTCATCGGCCTAGGTCTCTTGTTCTGTTGAACAGGTGCAGTAGGTGTTGATCTGCAGTGTGGAGCTGAGGGCCTGAGGTTCCCTACTGCTTGAAGGAATGTGCAAAAGCTCCTCTCTGCTAAATGTGCCTTGCCCAGAACAGCCGAATAAGTGTTGAGCTCGAGCACAAACAATGGTTGTCTAATGTTAGGACGGAGACCCCATTCGAACCTTATAGTCTTCCTGCCTTCATCCATCATGCTCTCAGGAGAATATCAATCCAACTCCAGAAATTTGCGAGCATATTCTGATATAATCATGTCCTCTTGGATCAAGTGTGCAAACTCCATCTCCTTCAAATGTCGGAGATACTCTGTGAGGTGCTCTACATGAAAAGGCTGTCAGGAATTGTTCCTAAGTAACTGGAAAGGGAAAGGTGGCCTACTTGAGTTGCCACCAGCGATCTGCTTCTCCCACTAACATGTAGGTAGCAAGGATGACCTTCTGTTTGGGGATCATCCCGAGGGTCTTGAAGGCCTTCTCTGTCTCAAATAACCAGAACTCGGCCTCTTCAAAAGAGGATCCCCCTACAAAAGTAGAAGGATTTAGTCTTTTACACCTTTCTATATAGCTTGAGTCCATCATGAGAGGAGCTGGGTCCCGTGGATGAGGGACTGGGCTGGGCTGATGATGGATTGGATGGCCCTGCAGTGGTATTTGATGATACGGTAGAGGCACTGGATTGTACTGTGGTGGTGCCAGGTGATATGGTGGTTAGGGCATCAAATCATACTGTGGTGGTATCGGATGGTACTGTGGAGGAGCAGGATCATATCAAAGTGGTTCGGGATCTTCCCGCTGCAGCAGTGGCTCAACTTGCGGCAACGGGGGAGGGTCAGGTAGCTCCCTCTTTTCCTCTCGGGCCTGCTGAGCAGCAATAAGTCCTTCCACCATCTCAAATAACCGATCAACATCCTCTCTAAGTGAACTCTCATGGGTTGCTTAGTTTAATGGGGATCTTTCTCTCCTCATCTATCTGTACCTACATTTTATAAAGAAATGTTGAGTGCCAATTCATTATTTTCGGTATTTTCTAAGGATTTTGTGTAAGAAATGGGTACGAGGAACACGACTCTGATACCAACTGTAACAATTCCCGAATTCTAAAAGAAATAAATGATAATTAAAGTGCGAAAGCGAAATAAATGTTCAAAGTTTACATTTCTTACACAATAACTTAAAGTACTAATTAGTGTTACAGAATTCACCCTTTTGAAAGAAATACAAATAAATAAGGAAATGAACAGAAAATAAAGAAAACTAGTATTCTACTCGCAACCCTCTTGCAGATCGGGCTCTAAATCTAAAATAGTTAAATAAGGAGTGAGCTACACTAGCCTATTAAGAACATCAAACTATATCACCGACAAAGAAATGAAGGTTGGTAGAAAAAAAACTCAAAAACAACTAATTGAGCACTGAATTAAGCAAATTCATCTATCAATAATAAAACTATTTACCATCCACTTATCCTAATGACACTTATAGAAAATAATCTATAGAAACAATGACATTATATATATCATGATCCCATATATAATTGATAACACAGCACATATTATACTTTCATATTCAAATCATCAAACAACAATTGCTCCTTTTTTCACCAGCCTGCTAATATCCATGGGAGTTCATAGAGATGTCCCGCTATGCATGAAACTTTTCCTTTAATATTCTCAATTACGGGCCGTCCCCATATCTCGTCCAGTGTGAGCGTCAAATTACCAAACCTCAATACATCGTCCGGAATGAGGGTGAACTGGTCGTCCCCATACCCTGTCCGATATGAGTACTCAATTACCAAGTCTCAATACCCCGTTCAGTATGAGACACGTTCACAGTAGGGTTCCCAGTGTACCTAGTCCGTCCACCATCTCCTAGGATGTCCAGTAAGGCTGTCGTTTCATCCAGTCACTTAATCACATAAGTTTTTCGTTTACATTTAACCTCAAATTTCTCAATTCAATCGTAAATAATTAAAACAACAATACATGCATTTAAAGGTATAAAATAAATCAATAAGGCACTATCATACATTTAAACTGTAAAAACAATCAATAAAAATCAATAGAAAATAGTTTTCGATTTTAACTCCATTAGCAATTTGAAATTAATCATGAACATTTTCTAAATTGTACAAAATACCGTATTTATTGTTAATTATACTTTAATTCTATAACATAGAATAGGGTGAGAGATTCTTACTCAATTTGATGCCCAAAAGGCTAAACTATTGGCTGCACCTACTAGCGGTCCCTAGGTTCCCTGAATTTTTCTTCAAAAATCAAAACATGCTATAAGTACTTATAAATGTCCCAAACAAACCCTAAATTAATCTCAGGACCCATTTTGGCCAATTTTAGAATTCTGGCACGGTGGCTCTGCTGTGATCCGACGACTACGCCGCTGTCTGCCGCAGTAGTCCACATCAGGTCAGCTGTTTTCAGTCATTTTCTGCCAGATTCGGCCAATTTTGTATCAATCCCTACGAGAAAACATGTTAAAGGGCCTCGGTTGGCCCAAAAAATCAAAACTCACCGGGGACGGGGCTCTCCGGTGCCGCGACTCCTCCGGCTCACGTTGCAGTTGGGTATTTTGCTCCAGTCAATCTGTAGAGAAAGAAATGGTGATCAAAACAATAAAAAAATTACGCAAAACGGGAATCGAAAAAGTCCTCATCGGAGGCATTTTGTGGAATAATCTACAGCAGCGCTGTTGGGCTTTGCCCACACTTTCCAGCCAATCAGCCGTTCTTTTGCTCCAATTTGACCATGAATGTGTTTAAAATTAAATTTTGAGCAATGGTAAAAAAGGGCTCCAGCGCGACAGCTGGTGGCGACGATCTCATTCTCGGCGGCTAGGCCTTCTTCTCCGATTAGGGGATTTGGCGGCTAGGATTAGGATTTGGTGTGGATGGGGGTTATTTATATCCATCCACTTTTGACCTGGGCTGTCCATCGCGTTTAATCTGGGTCGTCCAATCGCGATTAAATAGGAAATAAATCTAGACCGTTCATCGCAATCCAATCTGAACTATTCATCGCAATCTAATATGGGTCGTCTGAACGCGTTCAAATCTGGCCGTCCGATCGCGTTTGGAGAGGGAACGCATCTGGGCCGTTCGTGCGCGCAGGAACGGATCTGAGCTGTCTGATCGCCAGCACGCAGATCCCCGCGTGGCACGGCGTCAGCATCTGCTACCACGCGGTGTGTCCTGATTCGTCGGGGCTGCTGACCAGACATCCTACGTGGTGAAACTTCTCTAAATATATTTTAATCACCGGTTTTCAATTTTTCTTTCAAAAATACTTCCAAAACCTAAATTTTCACCTCTTTTCTCCAAAATTATTTTCAATTTAATCTTCCATCAATTTTACTTTATTTTTACTCTAAATTAAAATTAAAAAGTAAAAAATTAAGAAATTATATTTATAATTAAATCCTAAATTACATTAAAAATTAATTTATGGTATTATATAAATTGTATGACACTATCTTTTTTTAGTTTGAATGATTACCTGTCATTTTTCCATAATTAATACATTAAAGTTGTTTCCAAACTTTATTGAATCTTGGTATGACTTGTCTAGATTAGATAAGATTGACTTGTTTCCACAC